AGACCTTACAGATTCTTGGGCCACGTTTCCTAATGAAATTACCAAATCAGAAGACACCTGTTTTAAGAAACAATACTTGTAAGAACACCACAACCCACCTTTGCTCGGCTAAGAGACAAGCTTTGTGACTTTTTCCTTAGCCTGCCTGTGCTCCTGCTTAGAAAGTAATGTGTTTAGAGACTTTCACACCCTTAGACATTGCCAACAGGAATGTAAAATGGTGCGGCCACTGAGGAAAAGTCTGGCCAATTTTCCGAGACGCACACAGTATGACCTAGCAACTCCACTCTTAAGGTGCATCACCAAGAGAACTGCCAGCATCTGTCCACCTGAACGCTGCACACCAGTGTGCACAGCGGCATTATTCATAATTGCCAAAAAGGGGCCACAACCCAGCTGCCCATCAACTGAGGAGCAAACAGAATGGGAACCTCGTCCTTCGGCACAAACCGACAATGAAAGGAGGACCGACGCCTTCACTGAGGCGGGAATGAACATAGAAAATGTTTATGCTGAGTGGGAGGTGCCAGTCATACATGCCACACCTGCCCAGACGGGCAAATGCAGACACAGAAAACAGAGGAATAGCTGCCAGGGCCGAGGCGAGGGGTGGAGGGGTGGAGAGGGACGCTGGTAGCTACGGGATTTCTTTTTAAGTGAACAAATGTTCTGGAATTAGATAGTGGTGATGGTTGTACAACTCTGTGAAATACTAAAAACCAGTGAAATGGGTACTTGAAGTGGGTGAAATTTATGATATATGAATTACATCTTAGTAAAGCTGTTTAAAAAAGTAACATGTTTTGTAGTTGCTTTAAAAGTATGGTTTCTAGAAGCAATTGCGTTACAGGAAATAATGCCATGTCAATTTTTTGGATTTCTTTTTAAAAAGGCCAGTGCGCCTTCCTACGGGGAAAAAAAAAAACGAACTACAGCACACAAATTGTAAACTGTCTTCCCCAAGACTCTAAAATGAAGCGGGCTCTAATCAGTACACTTGGCATAGCTTTAAATAACAATCCTCTCTTAAATGTTTGTGGACAAAGACTATTGCGAAGTCTATAGAAACGTGTTAATAATCGGAAGTGTCAACTTCAAATCACAAACAAAACAGACTGCAGCCCCCACGCCGAGCTCCCATGTGCATGAGGACGCCCGCCCGCCTGCATGTCACGTGGCTGCAGCCCCCTCACCGGCTCCACCCCCACCCTCCACCCTGCCCCCAGCCCCGGTCTCAGCGTCAAATGCCCAGAGAGGACCTGCCCTGACCTGCCAGGACTCCCTGGGGACAGCTCTTCTCCATCGCCTTCGCCGGGCAACAGCAGCACCAGCTTCCAGAACACGTGCTCCTGCCCGCCAGGGAGGTGCTCAGCCACGAGGTGCGGCAGGTCCAGGGGTGCCCACGCTGCATCACTGCAGGGACAGAACAGGGCAGCTCAGCGGGCAGCAAGCCTAGGGCCGGCAGCGTGCAGGTGGGCGTACTGACCTCAGCAGCCGCTGGTGGAAGTGCTGGGCCTTCATCTGGTGTGCAGTCCGGCTCCTGAGCCACTGTAACCTGCGCGAAGGACATGGGTGCTGAGCATGTGAGGGAGTTCGGCGCCACCATAGGGACCGGACACCCATCTGCTGACATCTGGAGGGACGTGTCCAGGTGGGAAATACTCAGGAGACCAAGAAAACCTTTTCAGCTAAAGGAGCAAGTTAGTCAGCGGGTCTGTTCCCTCCACAGACAGGCAGTGATCTGCTGTGTGCGTCATGGGGCAGCAGCAGGGAGAGACAAACACTGCCTGAGAGCACGTTGTCAGGGTGTGGCGCGGCTGTGTGCGAGCCTCACATGGGGTCAGAGAAGGGGGTGCACGAGCAGAGGCCTGAAGGAAATAAGGGCAGACAGCTGGACAGTTCCTGGGGGAGAGGGCAGGGGTGGCCCTGCCAGGACAGAACGACAATTTCTGGGGG